AAAACCTGGGAATGGCCTCCTTAACTTCTCCAGTGCCTTTCTAAGACACAAATGGGGTGTTTAATCCAGTTTCCTCAGAAACCTCAATGTTTTCCTCCTCCAAGCCTAGAGAAGAAAGTCCAAGCTTCTAAGGAAGATAATCATGGCTTGGCCTCCTAACCCCATTCTCCTTTCCCTGTTGAGCCATACCTTTAACATGCTCTATTTCTCCTCCTACATGATCTTACTCTGCTGACCTTTGGTCCTGCCTAAGAGCAGCAGCACCTTTTCAGACTCCCAATCCTACTCAAGTCAAGGATCAGCCCAAGGGCACATCTACAAATCTGACTGGGAGAAGAGCCCTTCCTCCCTGGGGCTACCACAGCTCATAGCCCTTAGCTTTTGACCCACCCCCATCCCCACCCAAGGCTATCATGGAATATAGTATTTCTGTAGTTTTTGTTTCTATTCCCCTGCATTCTAGAACACAGTCTAAATACCCATTTCTCCCACCTTCCAGCCAGCTTTCCATACACAGAAAGCCTTGCTACCTTAGGGTTCCCATACAACAAAGATTCAAAGTTTGGTGCATAGAGAAAATTCCATTGGCATATTAATTATCCAAAGCACAATCTCAACCAGTTTTCTTCTGAATCCTCTTCAGATATTTTCTGGTTATTTTCCTAAATCAACCGTATCATCTTCAGGCATAGTTCATCAAGAAACACTGTGAGCCAGGCACTCATCCTAGGTTGATGAGGGAAGAGGATGGAAAGCTTGAGCCCAATCTGGGAAACTTAGCAAAACTGTCTCAAAAAAAAAAAAGGGCTGAGGAGGTAGCTCAGTGCAAAGGCCCTGGGTTCAATCCATAGCTCTTCCAAAAAGAGAGAGAGAAAGGAGAGAGCGAAGAGAGACAAGACAGAGATAGACACTAGAGAAAACACATTTCCTGAGCAGGTAAGGCAAGTATTACTTGCTACATTGAACAGATCAGCACAAAGAAATAGGAAACAAACCAACAACAACAAAAACCCAAACTTCGTGTCATATTATTTAGTTTTACTTTTTTGGGGGGTTACGGGGGATTAAACTCAGGACCTTGTGCTTGCAAGGCAAGCAACAAAACCAAGTAGTTAACTGGCAAGTAAGTTATCCTATTATTGGTGGGATGGTGGCACACACCTCTAATCCCAGCGCTTGGGAAGCTGAGGCAGGCAGATAGCTGTGAGTTTGATGCCAGCCTGGACTACACAGCAAGACCCTGTTTCAAATTTTGGCCAAACCTAAAATAAAAATATAGTCAAGAACACTATATCCAGGAAAAGAAGGGGCAAGGGGTATGTGTGTAAAGTGTCTGGTATATAAATTCTATCTAGACATTACAGTATTAGTTATTATTTTATAGCTTAAGACAGCCTTTTATATTTGGTATAGGGTAAACTGATTGAGATGAGTCTTCATACAATTCTGCCAAGAACTAGAAGTAGGGTTATAAGCCCAATAATCCACAACTAGTAAATAATGGCATCTTGAATAGTCTGATTCCTTGTCTAAGGCAAATTTCAATACAACAATACCAAAATTTATTAACGTACAGATAATCTTAAACCAGAATGTCTTGACTGGGGGTGATTTTGGCTGGCAGCAGTGGATGCTGGCAATGTCTGGAGATATTTTTGGTTGTCACAATCAGTGATGGGAGCAGGTATTTCTAGCATGTAGTGGATAGAGGCCAGCCGAAAGGGTACTCATAACAGATACATGACCCAAAATGTTAACAGCGTTAAGGGTGAGAAACCCTACTTCAGAAATCTTGAGAAACCTGCCAGGAAAATGAAGACCAAAGTATGTCTATACTACCTGGGTGTGATGGTGCGTGCCTATTATCCCAGCTACTTGGGAAACTGAGGCAGGAGGATCAAAATTCAAGGCCAGTCTAGGCAATTTAATGACATATCGCAAAGTGGGAAGGAGCCAAGAATGTAGCTTAGTCATAAAATGCTTGCGTAGTGTGTACAAAGCCTTAGGTTCAACCCTCACTGGTAAACAAACAAACTAAGCATGCTTATACTACAAAAAACACTTTGGGGTTTTTTTTGGGGGGGTGCGGTTTGCAGGGGATTCAACTCAGGTCTGTATACATACTAGGCAAGACAAGTATTCTACCACTGAGCTTTTTAAAAAATTCTGAGGCCAGGGATTTAGCTCAGTGGTCCCTCTGCCTGCCTCACAAGCAGAGTAGGAAGTCTGATCGCTGGTACCAAAAAAAAAATTTTTGAGACAGGTTCTAAGTTCTGAGGTTGACCTCAGACTTGTGATTTTCCTGCCTCAACCTCCCAAGTAACTGGGGTTACAGTTGTGCACTGTCATACCTGTCTTCCTTCTGCTTTTAACCTCCCCTATTTTAGCTAACTTATCCACCCTGTTTGAATGGATTGTCATCCCAGGGAAGAATGTTGAGCTTTTTTCTCCCACTTTGGACTCTCTGATGACAGAAAAAGTATGCTTGTTCTGTATAAGACAGGAAACATGAATGCACAGTGAGGAAACCAGAAACTGCAATGGTGTGCTTTCCAAAACATCATAGTTTTTGTTTTTTCATCCAAAGGTAGCACAACTTTACTAGCCACTACTTACAACTCAGGCTGTGAAGCCCCTACCTCAACAGCCCCTACTTCTTACTTCTATCTATAAAGGCCTGCTCAGGAGTTATTCAGACCAACATCCTTTTTCCTCCTGTAGCATGGTAATTTATCTGACAGTCTTCCTGACCACTCCATGAGACCAAGGCTGATTTTAGGAGATTTTAAAAGAAATTTGATAAAGAATAAGTTTTTTTTAAAAAAAATAAACCTCATCCAGATTCTTTTATCACAACTTATTATCCTTCAAATTTCTAAAGCACTTTACGGTTTGGGAAGAGCTTTAATGCCTCTATTCACACCTGAACTTCACAATCATATAGTGAAGAAGGTAGAGCAGATATCATGCTCCATCCCAGGATTGCAGGAAAGCTGCCGGTCCACTGTTGTTATTGCTGTCAGGCTGGTACATTTGCCGGCTGACTTGGTTGCAGATTTTCATTCATTTGTATCTAGATAATTGCTTAAGCATCTTGATGTACATTTGCTTACACAGCATAAACATCTGTCCCAGCCAGGATATGATGGTGCATGCCTGTAATCTCAGCAGTGTGGGAAGCTGAGGCAGGAGGACCACAAGTTGGAGCCTAGCCTGGGCAACTTAGTGAGACTGTGTCTCAAAATAAGTAAAAAGAAGACTGGGGATACAGATCAGTGCAAAGGCCCTAGTATTGAAAATCAACAACAAAGCACTTCTGTTCTACAAAGGAGATTATCAGAAAACAAAGTATATGGCAGAAGGTAGAAGAGAGACTAAAGAATGAAGGCTATAACACAAACTTGACTTAGGTAAAGCATTTTAAAAATTTAAAATAAAATTCCCTCAAACTTTCACTTCCAGGAGATCAAAAGAAGAAATAAAACCACAACTCTAGACTTATGTTTTCCCATACAGTAAACCTAGTTATATCTTTGTAAAGTATGGAAAAAAGTAGTCATAACTTCGACACAAAGCATAGCACAGGAACTGAACGCAGCACATCCATTTGGATAAACTGGCAGAAATGGCTTCAAAAGAGTCACCTCAGCTAGGCCCTGAAAAAAATGGGGAAGATGTCATACAAGAAGATGAAAGGAAAAAGCACTTCTGACCAAAAGAATATAAGATATGATGTGTTCAGTTTGATTGTAGTATACAGCATCCTGAGATTAAGTTCAAAATGAAAAAAATTGCATGTATTAAAAACAAAGTCTGGCCAGGGATTTAGCTCAGTGGTTTTGAAGCCTGGTGCACAAGCGCAAGGACCCAAGTTCGATCCCCAGTACCCCCCCCCCCCAAAAAAAGTCAAAGTGCTAGTCTATTCTCTCTCTCTCTCTCTTTTGTTTTTGAGACAGGGTCTCACTGTGTAGTTCAGGCTGACCTTGAACTCACTATGGAGCCCAGTGATCCTCCTGCCTCAGCCTCCCAAGTGCTGGGATCACAGGCTTGCGCCACCACGCGGGCATTACTCTTGTTGCTTTAAAAGAAAACTGTAGCTCCCTCTAGTTGCACTGCAAAGCAGAAATGAGGAACAAGACAGTACCAGGATGACTGTCAGCAGAGTGTGTGTGTGGGGGGGTGGCCTTTGCCTGATGGTGCCTTTATGATGCTTCCTGGGATTCCAGTACTGTTAGCAGGGAAAGGTTGCCTCTCTCCTCCCCTCTCTGAGGAGTAAAGAACAACTCCACCAACAGTCTCTCTGTACCAGAGTCAAGATGGATGAGTCCAATCCACCAAGGTAGTGCTCTGAAGCCACCACCACAGAGCTTAAGGACGATCCTCTTCTAAAACACACCTGTGCCCTATCAGGTCCAAACTTAGTCATCCTAATACCCGAGCTCAGCATTAAACGTGGTGTCTTCCTGGTCCTCCATGGGACCTTGACTTGAGCCTTCCTATTCCGGGATCACAGTTCCCGAGTGGGGGCACTGTCACCAGCTCCTGACTCCCGCAAGGGCATTAACTGCCCCTCCTGCAGATTCTAGATCTTCACCCCACACTGAAAGGCCACAAGGAGGATACTACCCGAGTTTCACACCCAGGACCATCTGAGCACATCTTGACTGGAGCCAATGAGTGAGAGAACTTGGCTGGCGCCCAGGCTTGCTCCCCGGAGCCAGGCCTTGGCTCCTTCGCGGACCACGGGTGAGGGGAGCGCGGGGTTCGCACCAGTGCCCGGAGGGAAGACAGACTTCGCTGCAGCCAGCCCAGAGCACGTGCCCGGGAACGCCAGCTTCCTGGCGCGGAGGACAAAGTCCGCCCTTGCCTGTTCCGTAGCTCGGGCACCCGGCACCGGGCGTCTGGGGCAAGGCGGGCAGGGCCCATGTGCGACCCCAGCCTTAATCCAGACCCTGACCCCACTTCAGGATCTGCCTCCCGGGACCCCTGCGCGCACTCACCATTGTGGTTGACCCAGGTTGGCTTCAGGAGCTTCATTGTTCGGCCGCCGCCGGGCTGAGGCGAGAGCCGCGTCCCTCAGCGCGCTCGGGCCATGGAGCCACCGCTGCTGCTTCCTCCCGCGCCGCCGAACCTCCGGCCGCCGCCCGCCCCACGCCCTCAGTGCCGTCGCGCCATAGCCGGCCCGCGCCCCCCGCCGCCACCACAGTCGCCCCCCGCGCTCGGCCGCCGCCACCACAGCCGCATCCCCTGAGCCGCTCCTCCTCCGGCGGCTCCCGGGCAACGCCGGAAGTCAAGGCGCGCACCTGCCAAATCGCCCCGGCGGGAAACCACTTCCCACCCGAACCGGGCCGTTTGGGCTCTAGCAGGCGGGGCAGCATAAGGTGGCTCGCTTTGGGTAGAGCCCAGACGTGGCCGGTGACGAGGGACGGGGCAGCCGGAACTAGCGGAGGGCAAGCGGACCCTTGAGTAGCAGCCTGGGCCGTCCTGGACGTCCAGAGAGCCAGGCGGGGCCGACGTGTCCTGGATGGCCTGTCACTAGCTCTACCTCACTGGTTCTTAGTCTGACTTATTAACTAGGTTCCGTCATTCATCAACACTATTGGGCATCTCTCGAGTGCTGGCGCCGGAATGCAGCCACCGGCGGGCGGACGAATGAGAGTAATGAGCCAGCCCCGGGGAGGATGCAGGAGAGACAGAGGCGGGCGCGAATTTGGAAGATCTGGAAGATCTGGGCCCGTCTTTAAGAGACCTGGACACGTGGACCCTATGGAACAGAGAGACGCCCCTTCGGTCACTCCCGCTACACCGCGGGGCCCAGGCCTTGGCGGACAGGCAGGGCAAACATCTAGGCAGTAGCTAGCTTTGGTATTCCTGCCGTACGGGCGGGCTCACCGCGCCCAAGAAGGCAGAAGGGAAGACTTTGAGAATCTAGAGGTGAGAGGCGCCCACAGTGCGTGGCGCACGCCTGCGACGCTCGGGGCGGGGCTGCGTCGGGGGCGGAGCTAGAAAGCGGGAGTGAGTACCTCCGCTGCTTGAGGTTGTCTGTGTTAGACGCCGAGGTCAGAATCGTAGAGAAGCGCCCCCGGAATCTCCCCACGGGAGTCAGAAGAGGGCATGGCCGCTGTGGCGCTGCGATCTTCTGCGCGGGCTCTGCGTCTGTCAAGTGGGTGAGTCCGGACACGGGCTAGGTCACAGGGTGCCCAAGGCACATGCTGATTCCGGTCCCGGCTTTTCTGCGCTCCTTCCGTACTGTCCTTCTCCACGGACATTACAGCTGATCGTGTCTGTCTTGAGAATCCTAGGACCCTAACGTGTAAGGGCCTTGATCCAAGTTGTGTGTGTGTTTGAATAGAGAGTTTAGAAAAATCTCCACGTTGACCCTGCTATCATATCTAGTACTGACAAATACCTCTACATTTGGTGGGCACGGTTTGTGCCCACTGTGAAGTGGGGAGAATCAAATATTGATACATACCCTTGCCTCTTTCAGGCTCCCTGGAACTTGGTGGACACAAATCAGAGATACTCACCAGCGAGCTTCATTGTTCGCCTTCTGGGAACTCGTTCCCATGAGGTAAAACTCAAGTCTGTGACCTCTTAGGGGTGTCAACACAACGGAAGGCTGTGACCTCTCTGGGGGGCCACAACAGGTGTACATGTTACTGGGACAAAGCAAAACTGCTTGATATTTGGTTTGCAAAATCCACAGCTTACAAAACTATTCTTAGTTGAATTTAGGCAGATGCTTTTCTGTCTTTTCAATATTTGCTCAGTTAGCTTAAAGGGAGTCTTATGTGCTTTAAAGGGCACAGCTTGTTTCTCTATGAGCCTTTCTCTTTCTCTTCTGGGGAGAGGGTGTTTCCAGGACTAATAAAGTTTCCACCTGGGATTCTTTTCAGCGCCTTGACTCAATTTTAATACTAAACGATCTGGTTTTCTTGATAGTAAATTATAACTGGGAGATGTTCCTAAGAGTAAAACAGGTTTTTGCCAAAGCTCTAAGATGAAAAACTTAAGAAATCCTGACAATATAGACATGCCAGTCACTTTTACGATATTGCCTTTATTAGTCATAAAGCATTTTCATAAATCAAAGACCCATTTAAAATGTGACTCATGGGCCGGGGATTTAGCTCAGTGGTTCCATCACCTGCTTTGCATGCGCAAGGACCGGAGTTCGATCCCCGGTACCAAAAAAATAAAATAAAATAAAATGTGACTCATATGCTTCTAATCTATCATTTTGATGTTTCCATTTTTCAATACAGTCCCAATGCACACCTGAATCCCAGCCCTAAAGATGAATACTTTCCCTTACTTTATATGTGACAACCTACCATGTGAGTTGATGGTACCCACACAGTTCTCAAAAGGACATTAGGGTGGAACCTGCCTCCCTGTGCTTTGAGTGTAGGGGGTCAGAACTAAGCACAACTCCTTCACCCAGTGGAGAGCTCAGTGCAAGTATGGGGCACTTCATTTAGCATTATGTCTCTCATGAGATTGAAAATGAAAACATTTGTTTACTTTTTATCCATTAGAGCAGAACCTCCACGAAAGAAGAAGAAGGTAGATCCTAAAAGAGATCAAGCAGTAAGGGACCGCTTGAAAAAGAGGATACGAAAACTGGAGAAGGCTAGCCAAGAGCTAATTCCCATTGAAGATTTTATTACCCCTTTGAAGTTCTTGGATAAATCAAGGTAAAGATTCTCCTCTGGGCCTGAAATCCATCAAGGGCAGAATTCCATCAATTTTGGGGAATAGTTCTAGACATGAAGTTCATGTCTGTGATGGAAATAGGTTAGTAGACTGGAGTTGACTCAGTTCTGGTCTGAGTCCTTTTCTGCTTGATTGTGCCTTTTGAGAGTTAGAAAAAGTTTTCCTGGATGGTGCCTTTGAATGGCTAATGTTGGGGAAGAAAACCAGACAATTATTTGATAAGTTCCAGCTAGATGTTCAAACAAGTTTGGATCAACTCTCCTCTGAGGTTCATGTCATTCTTTTGCCTGAGGAACCTTGGCTGTGACACATTATATCAAGGGTGTGCAGCTCTCATCCCGTCCCAGTAGTAGAAAACCTTTGGCCTCTTATTTGTCATATATATGGTCATAGTTGGTGTATGTTGTGATTGTGGTGGTGCTGGGTTAGCATCTCTTGCTGCTTTCTTGAAAAAGTGTACATAGTTCATAAAGCAACACCTTGGCATGCAAGTGAGAAACAGCAGATGCTTTTGGTGCTCCAAGGCTTAAAGAGGCTTTTTGTCTCCCTGGGATTTTGGTGTGCATTTCACTTTACTCCTGCATCACCTCTCACTAAAGGGAGCCTTTGTCTAGGGCAGAGAAAGTGGTACCATGGTTTTCTAAGGTCATGTTTCTTCTGGCAGAAAGCATATGACCTTAGCTCCCAGTGTGAGTTGCAACCTCTGCCATGCTCAACATTCCATTTCTTAATTTTCGCCAGACTTCCTCTTTTCTTTCCTAAATCCTGTCAATAGCAGGAAATGGAGATGACTGGGTCATGTGCAGTTGCACAGGCTCCCTTGCCAGTGAGGTCAGTATTCCCCAGCCTCACATCTTTGGACTTTGTGTTCACAGACAACGACCTCAGGTGGAGCTCCCCTTTGAGGAGAATGAGCAGAGAGCTCTGCTGCTGAAGAAGTGGGCGCTGTACAAGCAGCAAGAGCATGAGATGGAGAGGGATGCCATCAGGGCCATGCTGGAGGCCCAGCAGAAAGCTCTGCAGGAGCTGAAACTTGAGTCCCCAGAGCTCTACACTGAGGCCATCAAGCGGGACCCCAGATTGTTCCCCTTTGAGAAGGAAGGGCCACATTACACACCACCAGTCCCTGACTATCAGCCCCCTGAAGGCAGGTACAATGACACCACCAAGGTGTACACACAGGTAGAATTCAAGAGATAGAAGTAAAGTCAGCTATCCTCAGAACATACTGTCCTCCAGGAGTCAGAATGGCCAAACCCGAAGTCTGCTTTCCAAAAGATCAGATATGCTGGTAATAAATAAAGGTTTAATCAAAAGTGCCTTTGTCTTGTGTTACAATCATTTACAGATGGATGGGAGTGAGAGACGGTGTCCCTCTGCCAGCTACTGGGAAGAGGATGACAAAGACATCAACACCTACCCCCCACGGGAGGGAAAAATACTGGCAAAAAGGAAGATTTCAATTGTGTAGTGAAAATACCGCTTGCGGGAGGCACATAATAACCCAAAGGTCGCTGCCTGCCTCACAAGCGCAAGGCCCCAAGTTTGATCCCTGGTACCAAAAAACAAAAAACAAAACAAAACAAAAAAGCCCAAAGGAGTGGAAGTGAAGGATGTGCAGGATTTTTGTGAGCTGGGAAAGTGTGCTAAGAGAAACAGGGTCTTCCTAGTGGGACAGAGAGAGGAGCTACCTTTAGGGCATAACCTGGGCAGGGAAGCTTCAGAGAACAGAGCAAGCCAGGGACACATTAGTTAGGGCTCCTCTGTCCTCCAGGAGGCTGAGACCTGGCTGAGGAAGAAGCCTCACAGTGTTTATTACTTGTATTAGTCTGGAATAGAAAATGTATTAGTATGCTTGGGATGCAGTAACAAAATATCACAGACTGGGTGATGGTGGTGGGGATTGAACCCAGGGTCTCATGTATGCTAGGTAGAGTATGGAGTATAACTCTACCACTGAGTTACCCCCAACCCCTAATAATCTTAATTTCATATTTAAATGTTTTCCTGGCTTATTTGTATTAATATTTAGAAATTAAAATCTGTCTGAGGTTGTGTTACTATGAGCCACCAAGAAATTGGCACTGTTCTTACACTGAACCTTTACTGTTACGGGCAGCATTATCCCAACCAAAATTACTGTGTTGAAGTGCTTAACCCCCAGTACCTCAGAATATGTATGTATTGGAAGTAGAGTCCTTAAAGAGGAAATTGGGTGCCTTAAGAGATTGTAAGACTGAAGGCAACCATATGAATACATATGGAGAAGGTAGCTATCTGCAAACCAGGCAGAGAGGCCTTGGAATGAGTTCTAGAAAATAAACCAGGCATAAATTTCTAGTGTGTAAGCAACCCAGTTTGTGATATTTTGTTATAGCTGCCTGAGCAGACTTATTTTGCTTTCCTTTTTCTTTCTTTCCTTCCTTCTTTCAGCACTGAGGATTGAACACTAGGCCTTGCATATGCTAGACAAGTGGTCCACTACTGAGCTGCATCTCCAGCCTCACAGCCTTTATTGCTGTTTAATGTTTATCATTCCCCTAAACTACAACAGAAACTCTTTGAAAGCAAATTGTCAGTTTTAAGACTGTGACATTGGCTGGCAATGTAGCTCAGTGGTAGAGCCTAGCTGAGCGTGAGGTTCTGGAAGTGAACACTGGAATGATACAGGAACATTCCATCCAGAGAAATTATCTATTGATGTGAAACTTGTTCTGAAGCAAAGGAAAGCAAAATGCAACAGTGGTACTGCAGAGGAAAGACTTGAATGCTCAGATTCAAAAGAGCAAGAGGCACTTCTTAGCTGTGTGTGCAGCTTTCATACAGCTCTGCCAGCAGGTGATAGGACATGGCTGCAGGGGAGGGAGCCTCTCACAGACTGGTATGAGGCTGGCTCCCTCAGACTTTACTTGCATGTCCCAGCCCCTGACCCCCACCCCGGGGACTACAAGGTAGTTGGTGTAGTTCCAGGTATTATGTCCAGATTGCAAAATTCAGATGTTTCTTTCCTGTGATTTTTTTTGGGGGGGCGGGGTACCAGGGATCAAACTGGTCGTTGTGCTTGTAAGGCAGACGGCGGAACCACTGAGCTAAATCCCCGGCCCTCTTTCCTGTGTTTTACATGTGAGAAAAATTCTTATAGATCTTTAGCAGACTGCTCTCTCCTCATTGGCTGGAAATGCTCATTATTAATCAGTCACGGCAGCCTGAAGATTCACTGCTTAACTTAGAAACATTAAGGGTGATCCCTTGGATGGAGAAACCTTGACTCTTCTTTATACTCTCCTCTGTTCTTGAGATCCCATGAACATATAACCTCCCACTATTCATAGAAGCACAGGAGAGGAAATTTTATTCTTACTTTGAAATGATCAATTATTTTGCCCCAAAGAACAAACTAAAAGATATTCAATCCACTGGCTGCGGCCAAGAAATGGTGGTTCATATAAATATATTTTTAAAACAGCTAGAGGGAATAAATACAAAAATATTACTGTCTGAATTGATTGTTAGGTATGAAGTCTGACAAATGTGCATTTGATTTTCAACTTTTATTTGAAATCAAACATGTGAAATGGTTTTTGATACATTTTCAGGGGAAATTCTGAGGGAAGGAGACCTAAATCCCATGTACTTTGGTCTTGGTTTTCTTTTGCTTTTTTTTTCTTTGCTGAGCATGGAAGCCACAACCTCACATATGCCAGGCAAGGTCTCTACCACTGAGCCACACACCTAGCCCTTTGGGCTTGGATTTTTTTTCTTTTTATTAGTACGTTTCAATACATAGTGATTACCTTCGTCATGTAACACTGAACATATACATAACTCATCTTAATTCTTTTAACTTCTCCTTTCCCTCCCTCCCTTCCTTCCCTCTTCCTTCCATCTCTTTATGGGCTTGGATTTCTTTTTTTTTTTTTTCCAGTACCAGGGATTGAACTCAGGAACTTGTGCTTGCCAGGCAGGCATGGTGCCCCTGAGCTAAATCCCTTGGTCCTGGGCTTGGATTTCTTTTTTTCTGGTACCAGGGATTGAACTCAGGACCTTGGACTTACAAGGCAGGCACGGTACCACTGAGCTAAATCCTCAGCCTTTCCTGGGCTTGTATTTCTTAAGCAAAGACTCCACACTATCTTGCTAATTTGTATGTGCTTTTTGGTTTTGTTTTCTGCAGTATTGGGGAATCAACCCAGGACCTTCATACTGAGCTACATCCCCAGGCCTTTAAAAATTTTATTTTGGGACAGGGTCTCACTAAATTGCCAATTTGCCCAGTCTGGGACTGAATTTGTAATCCTCATGCCTCAGGCTCCCAGAGTGCTGTGATTATAGGCATTTGCCACCATGCCCAGCTAGGTTGTGTGTTTTTTAAAAACTGAATTCTCACCAGGCAAAGTGGCACATGCCTGTGATTCTAGAATTTGGGAGGCTGAGGCAGGGGGATTTTGAGTTTGAAGCCAACGTGGCCACACAGTGAGTTCAAGGCTGGCCTGGACTATACAGCTAGACACTATGTCAAAGAATCAAAGAAAAAAACCGAGTCTCTGAGGGCCTCGCTGGGAGCCTTTGGTGAAGTGTGCTGGTGCAGAGGGGCAGTGAGGCCTGTCTGTTTGGCATAGTCCACCTACCTCTGCCGTGGAACTGAGCAGAGTGTGAGCCCCCTGCTTTGATGCCAGGGGCTGGCAATATATGGTAATCACCAAGCCTGGGATGTGGTAACCTGTTTCCCAAGGACAGGAAGAGGTGTTCACAGTAGCACAGCTCTTGCGACCTCTTTCTGACCCAGTCATGTGTCTGCAGGTCAGAGCTACCACTCAAGAATTTATCTGAGAATGCTACCCCTCAAGACTACCACCTGTGGTGCTAGGTCTGATTGAGCCTGACCTGGCTGTTCACAGGTACCTGCCACAACACTTGGTTTCCTGGAAGCTGTGGAGTGGCCTTAATTGTCTCTCAGAGACTTGTGGTGACAGCATTCCCTGATGCAGGTAAGGGAAGGGCAGGTGGAGCTGGAGATGTCCTGCTCTGTGTTTCAGGCCAGGCAGGAGCTCACAGGGATGCACTAGTGTTTGGGATGGTTATAGCCCCACTTGAAGCAGACTTGAGGAAGCCACACAGGCCAAGGGCAGGGGTGCTCGTCACTTGTCCTTCTCTTGTGGTAGAGGGAGGTGCCAGTCTGCAGGGGGACTCTGCCTCAGGGCCCACACCAGGGTGTGCTTCCGTGCAGCTTGCACACGCGCCTGCTCGCTCTCACACAGGGATCGCTGTGCAAATGAAATTCTGGTTACTTTCTGCCTCACAGCTTGATCCCAGGGCCCCCAGCATCCCCTGTACTGCCCACTTCCTCAGCACTTTCCAGAACACAGATGGCCCAACAGAAGTCTAAGGTGCACAGTGCTCCACAGCTCAGCTGCTTCTACTTAATATACCTTGAGGATTGTTCATATTAGTACACAGAACCAGGTTATACTTTCTCATATGCTAGCGTGAAAAACTACTGTGTAGATAAACATAATTTTAGGAATTTTAAAACATCTTCTCCTTAGGACCTGATGGCTTTAGCTGGCCTGGTGAGTCTGGGGCAGGCTGACCTGGCAAGTGTAAGGGCAGGGGTGCTGAATGAGGGTGACAACAGTATGAATGAGCAGCTGTGGGGAGAAACAAAAGGCTAGACTACCCTGAGTGGGGCTGTGTGCAATAGGTGCTTCTCAATTTACCAGCTTCTCTCAGCCACTGACACCAAGACAGGCCCAACACAGTGTATTGTGATAAGGTGACCTTGGTTGTGAGCCCTTGGTAGGTGTTAGTTGCTATGTGGGTCTTTTTACACATATACATAATTTGTTTACTTGCCTCTCCCTCCCCGCTCCAGCACTGGGGATAGAACCCAGGACCTTCACTGTGAGCCACATCCTCAGTGGTTTTTTCTTAAATTTAATTTTCAGCAGGGTCTTGCAAAGTTGTTCAGGTTGGCCTTGAACTTGCAGTGATCCTCCTTCCTCAGTTCCCTGAGTGCTAGAATTACAGGGGTGCACTGCCATGCCTACCAATTGTCTACTTATCTTTTTGTTGTTGTTGTTGTCGTCAGTACTGGAGTTTGAACTCAGGGCCTCAAGCATGCTAGGCAAATGCTCTATCACTGAGCTATATCCCAGTTCTGTCTACTTATTTTTGTTTAGGCTCTTTTTATTTTTATTTTTTTCTGGTACCAGGAATTGAACTCGGGACCTTGTGCTTGTGAGGCAGGTGTGGTGCCACTGAGGTAAATCCCCAGCCTTTTTTTTTTTTTGAGATAGGGTCTTGCTAGGTAATTGAGGCTGGCCTTGAACTCACTATGTAGCCCAGGCTGATGAACTTGTGGTGATCCTCCTGCTTCAGCCCACTAAGTGCTGGGGTTACAGGCATGTGCCACCATGCCTGGCTCAAATAAAAATTTTTTGGTAAAAAAGAAAGGGGCTATAAAAATAATTAGGATGTGTTGTGTACATGTACTAACTCCCTACAATGAATGTAATCATTGTGTATTGTAAACATCTACTAATATAAATAAACTATTTTTGTGGTGCTAGGGATCAAAAACTAGGCCCCTGTGCATACTACATAAGCACGCTACCACTGAGTTACATTCCCAGCCCCTTAAATAAAATGTTTTTATTAAAAAAGCAATCAAAATTGTAATTCCAGCAATCAGGAGGCGGAGGCAGGAGGACTGTGACAAGTTCTAGGCCAGTCTGGGGTACATAGTGAGTTCAAGGTCAGCCTGAACTAGTGAGGCTCTGTCTTGAAAAAAAGAAACATAAATAAATAAAATGCAAGCAATCCAGCCAGATGTTGTGGTGCACACCTGTAATCTCAGCAGTTGGGAGGCTCAGTGAAATTTAGATCATTTTCACTTTTTGTACTATCATAAACAGTGACACAATGAACATTTTCAACTTTTACTCGTGCACTGTCATCTAACCATTTAGGTAAGATAAACTTTCAGAAGTAAAACTTCAGGGTAAAAAGGTGTGCATTGGATATATAGGTAATTGGAACACTGGACAATCTCACCAACACTGCATGAGTGCCCTGCATTCTACAAAACCCTATCAACACTTCTGAGTTTCCACTTGGCCAAAACCACTCTGTCATTTTAATTTGGACACTTAGCCATTTGGTTTTCTTTTTTAATGAACTGCTTCTTTGTACCTTTTGCCTATTTTTCTATTTGAAATCATCTCCAGTTTTTGTATTGATATTTAAGAGCCAATACAGATATTAACATAGATAAACAATAGATAAACACAGATATTAAGGGTATCAATCTTTTGTCATATACCTGGAAGCTTTCTCCGTGGTTGTATTTTTATTTATATATATATTTATTTGCAGAACTGGGGACTGAACTCAAAGCCTTTACACTCAACTACATCTCCAGTCCTTTATTTTTATTTTGAGACAGTGTCTCGCTAAGCTAAGTCACTTATAGTCTAGGCTGGGCTTGAACCTGCAATCCTTCTGCCTCATTCCCAAGGTGCTGGGATCACATATGTGCACTGTTTTATCCAGCTGTGTGTGTGTGTGTGTGTGTGTGTGGTGGGGATTGAACCCAGGGTCTAGCTTATGCTAGGCACATACTCTACCACTGAGCACATCCCCACCCCTGACATATCTCCATATTTTTTATTTTTATTTATTATGGACTTGTCATCATTTTCTTTTATACAGCAGCTTTTTTTCACATTGGTTTGTCTGTTTCAGAATAGTCACATACATAGCCAGGCATGGTGGCAAATGCCTGTAATCTCAACACTTGGGAGGATTGCTGTGATTTTGAGACCAGCCTGGGCTACGTTCTGCAGTAAGTTCAGTGCTATCCTGAACTACATAGTGAGATCCTGTCTCAAACAAAACAGAATACTCACATACATTTAACAGTGCTGATGCTCCAGGCTGGTCCTGGTGACTCTCCTTCCTTGTTTCCTGGCACTCCCAAGGAGCCCTTCACCCTGACATTTTTTCTCTCTCCATCTCCCCTTCTCTTTTCCCACAACAGCTCCAACGTACCATAGTATTCTTTTTTTTTGGTACCGGGGATCGAACTTGGGATCTGGAGCTTTCGAGGCAGGCGCTGGAAACACTGAGCTAAATCCCCGACCCTACCATAGTATTCTATATTAGAGTGCTCTATACTAGACTCCATACTAGAGTTTCAGCAGAGCTGGGCCTCCAGTCTCATCACACTTGTACCTCCAAGAGCATGATAAATACCTGCTGAATTAAGGGACCACCCTCTTACTGGTCTCTCTGACCCTCTACAATATACTGTCCACACCCTGGTAGCCAAACCGATCTTTTAAAGATATAAATCAAATTATGCTTCTCAGATTCACAAGGGTCTTATAAGTTGACTATTTTGTTTGTTTTTTTTTTTTTTTTTTTTTTTTGGTACCGGGGATCGAACTCAGGACTTGGCGCTTGCGAGGCAGGGGCCAGAACCAGTGAGCTAAATCCCCGACCCGTTAGACTCTATTCTTTATCAAGACTCATCAGGTCCCTGGTACTTCTCCACCCTCATCCCCAGGGCTCTACAGCCCACCCTTCCTCTGCTGCAGGCACTTAGGCCTTCTCCCTTTGCCTCATTCGTGTCAATGGGGCTGCGTCAAGGCTGTGAAAGCTGGCTCCTAGTCATTCAGGACCAGCAATATCATATTCTCTAAAGGCCATATGAAATGAAGACCAGCAATAATGGAAGGTTGGCCCTCCATCTCTTCTTGCTGTTTTCTTTAATACCGTTTCAAAGTCCCGTGGATATACTAATTTCTCAAAAGAAGGGAAGCAAAAAGAGGGGAGGATCCTGGTGCACCTGCGTTTCCCCAACCTTCCTTGCGGCGCACCTGGGCTTCGGCTGTCCGGCGCTCCTCCCAGTCGCGGCAGCTGGCCAGGTCGCGCAGCCACTGCTCGCAAGCCGGCCGCTTGCCGTGTACATAGTAGTGATGCAGGAAGTGCCTGGCGCTGCGGCAGAACTCCCACTCGGCGCGGTAGGTCTCACAAGGCCGCGGCGGCTGAGTCAAAAGGCAATGTCTGAGCGGGGCCGGCGCCGTACCCACGGCCCCGGTTCCGTCCCACCCCCATGCCCGGGGAGGAACCACTTAATCTTGAACCACTCGGATAACCGTGGTAACCCAGTGCCAACCACACTCACCCGCCAGCCGCCACTGTCTGCCATGTCAAGAATACCGCCAAACCCCGCTACCCCACCAGCCAATGAAAACTGAAGAAAGCTGGCTCTGTGTGACTGACAGACACAGAAACCAATGAACTCCGAGATATAGCAACCAAATTCTCACTCACTTCCTCCAGAAGCGCCAATAAACAGAACCCAGCTCTGAACCGAGCAGCTAATAACAGGCAAAGAAGATGCCACGCATCGAGGGGCGGAGCCGGGGCAGGGTGGGCCCGGTGGCTTGTTTCCAAACTCCGAGGGCCTGGAGCTGGGCTGGAGTGACAATGCGATGACAGCATCCATCTGCCTGGTGCCTGGCTGGAGTCCTGAGCTGCGCAGTTATGGTTAACTGTCCTGAAACCCTATGGTTCAGGTGACTTCTTTCCAGCAAGCTTATTTTTTTCAAATCTCTATGACCTGGGTCACTGTTGTAAGCACATCAACTCAAGACAGTGAACCTGCCAGGTACACAGCTACAGTAGTCTCGCCTGAGTGTCCCCTCAGAGCAGAGGTGAACTCACAAAGTAACTGGGATTGGTTGGGGCGTGATGTGTGTGGTGGAGACCGGTGAGTGGGGCTAGGGCGCTCCTATAGCTTCCAAGAAACCTAGGCTGGAAGTGCAAGCTGAGAAGTGTTCCTAGCAGAAGCAACAGAAGTAAAGGCAGCTGGTGGGCCTGCAGAAAGGCCTTTGCAATACTTTCACAATGGTCTTCCGATTAGAATCAAGTAATCTATGGGAGGTGGGGGGCTTACAAAGCAGTTACTGGACCTATCCTAGCAATGAGTCAGTTAGACTCCCTGAAGATAGGAGAGAAAACTGCAGTTTTACTAGGGGTCTTAGTGTTGAGGTAGCTGGCTCACCCACCAAGTTTGGAGAAAACACTAAGTGATGCTGCAGGCCGTATGCACCTGGGTGAATGCTCCAGGTGACTACACTGTCATTAGAAGGCCCCAACTACCACCAGAATATCCAACAATAAGTTCCACTTCTCTCTCTGGCCATAGAGTATGTCTTCAGCAAAGGACTGAGTTTCACTGCACACATAGGTGTGGCTTAGGGAAGAGAAAAACCAAGGGCCAAAGCCTACAGTAACTTCATTGTGTATAAAATGACAATTTTTTAAGGCAATGTGTTCCTGCAAATAGAGGCTGCCTACTTGGCAGGAGGGTTTTTATCTCTGCTACAGAAACTGAAACTAAGTGGAGGGACTGGCCCTCATCACACTGCTTCATCCCTCCCCAAATCACATCCACTGCCAGGGAATATTTGTGCCATAAAACAGCTCCGAACACCCTGACATTCATTGGTGGTCCTCACGAAGGACATGTGGGGAAACCCTGGGGCTGCCAACCTGGAGAGGGCATCAATTCCTCTCCTGAGGTTTCTTCCTACCAAGAATTGAACTCAGGGCCTTGCACTTGCCAGATAGATGCTGTGCCCTGAGCTACATCCCTAGCTCTTCTCTTGAGTTTCGAAGAGGAGCCCTGTCTAGGGCAGGACCTTTCTGCCCACAAGAGGACAAATCCTGGTACCTGGGAGACTTTCTGGGCCTAACTATTCTTATTCCAGGAGTCAGGGAGTTCATTTGTCCCTATATTTTCCAGAAGTCCTAGGGGAGGAATTTTCTAACCAGATGGTACGGAGCACCTGCAAATAGGCTTTCCTCTTAACTTCTGGTCAGTGGCCCAACCACCAATATATGTTAGTACCTAATCAAAAATTTAGAGGTGATCTAAGTTGTAGTCATTGCCTGTTTTTACTTGAAATTCTTGATTTAGAATTATTCTCAAGGAAAAAAAATTAAAATAACTGGATTAGTAGGCTAGATTTCTTATTACAGAAAGTGAAGATCTGAGGCTAAATTAAAACTAATCAAAACATTGGGGCTGGGAGTGCAGCTTAGTGGTGGAACGCATGCTTAGTATTCACAAGGCCCTGGGTTAAATCCCAGAAAATGAATGAATGAATGAATAAAATAAATAAATAAGACAAAAAGACAAACCAGCAGAACCTTGGAAAATTTAATAAATTAAAATTGAAAATTGCAAAGTGGGGGGTAGGGAAGCAGGGAGACATACCTTTTAGCATTTATTTATTCTAACATTTATATTTGGCTTCATCATGGAGTTGTTTTATTCTAGAATAAGTTCACTAAGGAGCCAGTAATTTCTATGTTATCAAAATAAAAGTGTGAACTCAACTGGATCAGGTTTTCCTTTTGAGGGGTACTTCTGAAAACAATCAGTATGTAAAATAAAATAGAAACACCCTTTCTCAAACACTTAAATAGCAGCCAGAGTAGTGAGATAGGCACTATTTATAAAGCACATATCTATTTAAACTCCTTTTTTTCTAGACCAAAGACAATGCCTTTGCATATGACCTGGAAAAAGGGAAAATGAAGAAAGAGAAAGAACACCTTGAATGACACTAATTCAATCCCCTCCACTGGTTTGTTAGAAATTAAGGAACTCTGTTTTGCTGGGGCAGGAGGAAAGTCCTTGAGCTGAAAGAATAAAGTAGAAGGTGGCCATCTACAGGACATTAGAGATAGCTTTCTCTTTCCCCAAATCAAGCACACAACCATGTTCTGCTCCTCCACTTCCAGGTCAAACTTGGTAATTCTTAGGTAACACTAAACAAACCCTTAAGTAATAGCATTCTCTTGATGATGGTCTCATCCTTGTCAGAGCCAGTAACTAAAAGCCATTATGTTGCAATTGTTTCCTTTATTTTCTAATCAGCCAACAGTCTGGACTTAAGGCTTTCTTCCCTTTTTGCGCAATGACTGTCCTTCTCCAGAGAAAGCAACAAATCTGCCTCCAGCTTCATCCTAGGTGTGAAAAATAAGAAACTATTTTCATAAACTCTCTGGAGTTTTTAAGGGATTTATTTACAATAGATGCCTTATTCTGTGAACTTGTGTATCATTCACCCATTGTCCTTCCACATTACTTATAATAAGAAATGCCACTGGGCCAGGGATTTAGCTCAGTGGTTCCGTCCCAAGCCTCACAAGCGCAAGGTCCTATGTTCAATCCCCTGTACCAAAAAAAAAAGCCTCAGAAATGTAAGTACAAATCATAATTTATTGTGCTGAGACACAAAATCATGAAATCCAAACTATGAGTCTTCCACTGCCTTTGCTTTCAGGTTGAATATGCAAATGCCTTTTACTTCTGGAGGGGTTATGTCCTGATAAACTCATTCTAAGTTGGAAATGTCATTAAGTTGAAAATGCATTTAATACACTCAACCTAACAAACATGGTAGCTTAGCAACACAGCCTATCATCCAGGAATGGTTGTTTCCCCTCTTGACAGTGTGGCTAATGGGGGAGCTTTGACTCAATGCTGCTGTCTAGCAATACAGAGAAGACCGTATTGCATATCACTAGAAAACGAAAAGATCAAAATTCCAAATTCCAAGTACAGTTTCTAGTGAAGCACATTGCTTTCACACTGTTATAAAGTAAAAAAATCCTAAAGTGATCCATAAGATCTTTTATATATCCTTATACAGAATAATTTTCAATATAAAAATATAAAATATATCCCTCAAAGAAAAATCACCCAGAACTTCATCACCCAAAAATAACATTTTCATTCACATTTCTGTACTTGCTTATATTAACTATTTTCTCAATTTCAAAGTCTTAAGCCAATGAATTCCTTATCTGGCACACTCCAAAGGCTGCAGAGTATTCTGTTATGTGGGAGAGCCAGTCTTCTGGCACTGGATGTCCCTGTTACTTTTTTTTTTGGTATCAGGGATTGAACTCAGGACCCTGTGTTTGGGAGGGAGGTGGAGGCACCACTGAGCTAAATCCCGGCCCCATGTTACTTCTAAGTTTGCAGTACTATAAACTAGTATGGTGAGCAGTTTGATGTGTTTGTACACAGCTGAGTTTTTCTCAAAGTAGGATTTCTAGGTAAAATGGTACACATTAATCCCTTTAAGCTTTTATTGATTTGTGGGTCATGGTAATGGGGATTGAACCCGGGCCTTTGCACTGAGCTATACCCCCCAGCACTTTTTAATTTAAAAATTTTTATTTAATTAATTTATGTAGTCCAGGATGGCTTTGAACTCACTATACAGTTCAGGCTGGCCTTGAACTCACAGCCATCCTCTTGCCTCAGGCTCCTGAGTGCTGGGATCATAGGCGTGCATCACCACACTTGCCTTATTACTGTTAGGAAATGGGGCTTGGCTGGAAGACATCTCTCCCAGAGGTTCCTTCCTTCTCTCTGCTTCCCGGCTGCCATGATGTAAGCACTTTTTCACCCTCTTTCTGCTATGCCACTTCTCCTTCTGCTATGCCATTTCTGCCTTGGAGCCTGTGGATTATGAACTAAACCTTGAACCAAAATAAACCTTTCTTACCTTTTCTTTCTGGTATACCAGGGATCGAACTCCGGACCTTGCGCTTTCGAGGCAGGCGGCAGAACCACTGAACTAAATCCCCATCCCAAGCCTTTCTTCCTTTAAGTTACATGTGTTGAGTATTTAGCCCCAGGGACAAGAAAGTGACTAAGATACTGAGGCCTCCCTGAAGTCTGAGTCTGGCAAAAGCCAACCTGTAACTGAAGTCCTAGTCAGGGGCTTACAGAGGTGCTACAGGGTAAAGCCTGATTAGGGGACCATATTTTTTTCTCTAAGCACGGAAGGTCCCCACCACTTGTATCACTTTGAGGAATTTTTTTTTTCTTTTCTTTCTTTCTTTCTTTTTTTTAGGGAAGGTCTCACACTTTGTAGTTCTGGCTGTCCCTGAACTCACTATGTAGCCCAGGCTGGCCTTGAACTTGAGGTGATCCTCCTGCCTCAGCCTCCCAAGTGCTGGAATTACAGGTATGTGGCACCGCACCCGGCAATTTGAGGAATATTAATGCTTGAAGCAGCTGTAAGTGGTGCTTGAGTATGTAAACAGCACTGCAGTCTCTGTTCCTAACTAACTCAAATGCTAGAGAAGAGTTCAGTTGTTAGGAGGGCAAGTGGCCAGGGACTGGTCCTATCTGGCAGCTCACCTGGAACAGGCTACAGCACATTTGCCCTCCACCTGTTCCAGATGGGCTGCCAGACTACTCCCCAAGCATCCAATCCTTTAAGAAAAGAAACCAGAAAAGTTGTCGGTTCTAGAAACATTCATCACACTCAGATGATTGTGTCTTAACTTCAGTTGCAGAGTGTGCTGAATTTTATGACCAAGGCCAGGACCCTGGAATAAGTTCCCACAAGGTGGACGTTTTCCTTAGCCAACTGCTCCTCCTGCTCCTGTGACAGGGGAGTGTGCCTAGGCAAGGGAGGCCTGCTTTTCAGATGTCTAATTGAAGGTCACTTCCAGAGTGTTGTGGCATGAAATGGGATATACAGTGGTCAGGAGCTCTGCCCCTGGGTCCAGGGCATCCTTACCTCTGGATCTTCACATATGCACTGAACAAGTGTAGACAAAGTATCCTGTTCTGATGATTAAAGTTGTTACACATAAAACATTTAGCATGGTGCCTGCTACCTAGCAAGGCAACCTCTGCCAACCAGTACTGTGCTGGTCACTATTGCTAGGTGGTACCAAACAAAGTGTGACAATATTGGGAGACAGGCACTTAAATCCCACTGCTTCTCACTGCCCTTGTGGTCTGGGCAAGCCGTTGTCACAAACAGGTGTGCCTACATGCAGGACACCCATCCAACAATCTTCATACCACACCTTGACCACTGCTTAGGGCCACGCACCTGCTGGTGCCTCAAAGTGTTCATGCCTACAGGAGGTTCAGCCCTAACCTCTTATCCCATAACCATCCTGCTTGGCTAGAAGGTATTGTCCTGAGATTACTAGAAGAAAGTAAAGAGAAGAAAAAGCCCACATAGGATGCTCAGCTCGTTGGTGACAGAGCTTGGAGGCTTGGAGGTGGCTCCTGACACCAAGATGCCAGGCCTTAGCCTATACAGGCTCACACAGGCTCTACAAAAGAAGCAGGCCATTAAGGAGAGGAAGGCTTCAGGAATGGGGAAAATATGACAAAAGGTTCCTATTCAGAATGGTAAAAACCTCAGTCACCACTAGAACTCACCTCTTCAACTTTTTTGACCAGTGGACGTGAATTTCTGATGAAAGTGATCTTACCAAGTTTAAATTCGTAATTAGGAATTCCTCTGTGGAGGAGACATGGAAAAATGTTAGTTTCAGGAAGAAAGGGCTGAAATTCTCTCTTGATAATCAGGAGAGAACAATCATAAAAGACAAGTGTCCTCTTGGTGACTCTTTCTGGGAAATAGTGCTGCACCCCAACCTAGGTCTTTGTCTAGCCCTTGGGTGCTTTTTAGCATTTTTGTAGCAGAAAACCAAGACCAAAAGGGTCCTAGTTTAGCATAAATACCGGGCATGGTAGATGGGCTTGACTCTGGGCCTGGCCTGTGATGAGGGGTCTTCTCAAGCTTCACAAATCCTTCTGCAATGGTTATATTCATTTGACGTTTTTAGAGACCAGGTAAAAGAAACCAACTCTAGCATTCTCCTTTTGCTCACACACAGTAGGCAGCTGACCCATCTTGTCTCTGGCCCCACTGTGACAGCCACCAAAGGAAGGGTCTGTAGTGAGAGTCACTGGACCCAACGAAGTCAAGCCCCACCACACCTGGAAAGCAGATAGGGATTTGAGTTCACCCACTAGCCTGCTACGCTAGCCCAGGGTTTGTTTCCTCAGGAGGCTGGCTCAGACTTTCCTTAGACAATAACAAAACACCTGGCAGGGGCACAGCCAGGGCAGACTTACCTTTTAATGTCTCCAGGCTTGATTGGGGAGGGACTAGGCTCAACCCCTTTCTTCTTTCCATCCAGTCTATTCCCAGAACCTGAGAAGGCCTAAACAGGGAAGCAGGAGTCATACACTGAGCCCTGAAATGGAATGCAGATCTGCCCTTTGCTCAGAGACTGCTGTAGGGATATGAGCGGAGG